GGGGGGAGGGGGGAAGAAGGCAAACTCTCTGTGTTTCCACCTCCAACTCTAAAATGAAGAGTTGAATGAAATGGCCTCAAATATCTTTCCACCTAAAAACTCTCATGATTCTGTTGCTTTAGGTTAAATAAAAGCAGTTTCTTAAAGTTTCACAATTTCCTTAAATAATGTCTGCAGATAGTGTGTATAGACATTTAGGGAAATGATACAGAGATTTCCAGTGGCTCCTCCTAACATCTAACTCATTTTATTCTCTCCTCAGCACTATCACTCGTAATTAGAAGAGAAAACAATGACTGTAAGAAAAGTCAGTTTGCCTCTTATTTGGGAATGTGAGGGTTGTTATATGTTCACATTGCGTGTGTTCATATTGTGTCTTCATAATACACTTACTGAAACCAAGGCTATTACCTTTAACTTCAAGAGATTTCTATATACTTCTTCATACGCTCTTGTTTAAGGCCTTAGATTTACTCATTACTAAGAATTTGGATTAACTGTAAAAAGATTTTTACAAAAGCCACAATTTACTCAACTGCTACAAATTCCACCACCACCAAGTATTAGATTATCAGTAAGGTACATTATGACCTATGAACTATAAAAAGGAGCAGGGCAAGTGGCCAAAAGGCAGAGAGGAGGAAGCAAAAGTAGCAAATGGCTTGCGTTTTATTTATCTTCTGGTCTCTACAGGGTCTTAGATGCCTATCAAATGATTGTTGCATGAGTAAATGAATACAGTATGGCGAGCTCAGTGAAAGACATGTTTGAGGATAGTCATGTCTCCACTTTGTGCCCCTCTTCCTCACCTCTCTGTATTCACGTCCTGAAGTAAAGAGGGGTAGATGGCTCAGACAAAAAATAATGAGTAGCCTCACCTGGAGCAGCAGAAAAACAAGTGATGGAAACCACCTGCATGACAGGCAACTTGCTTGTCACAGCAGAAACCGACTTGGGGAACAATTTCATCAGTGGCAGCATCCCTACATTTTATGCCTAATTTACAGACATCCTTGCTCATATTTAATCAAACTTTATTTCTAAACATGCGGTCAACAATTTTATTATTTGCAAATATTTCTTTAAAAGAAGCCAATTCTTGGGACACCTGGGTGGCTCAGTCGGTTAAGCGGCTGCCTTCGGCCTGGGTCATGATCCCAGGGCCCTGGGATGGAGTCCCACATCGGGCTCCTTGCTCAGCAGGGAGCCTCCTTCTCCCTCTCTCTCCCTCTCCTTGTGTTCTCTCTGTCACATAAATAAAATCTTTAAAATAAATAAATAAAGAAGCCAATTCTTACTCAAAAAAATGATTTCATGGTACGCTAAAGCCAGAAAGGTTAATAATTGGGCTTTTTCTTGCTTGCCAAGTTGACCCCGAACATATTCAGCCAGAAGAGCTACCACTAAAATACTTGAGTATAACTCCATAGATCATCACATGGTTTGATTCAACTTGAGGGAAATTTAACTTCAGAAGCAACAAACCTGATGCTTTCTTTGTTCTTTGATCCATGTATCCCATGTCAATAATTAACATCCAATGGGCTCAAATACACTTAGGTATATTCTCTAGACAAGTGATCTAGAAGAAGATCCAATGCCTCATCACCTCATGGCACTTAAAAACATCAGGAATTGTACCTCCGGTATTTTGAGTCTAAGATCATCAAATCATACGTTTCAAATCCACTTTTAAATAGTGGTTTTTTTGCAACACAGAAAATACACATTTGCTGCCTAAGATTTGAAATGAAATATGATAATTTCCAAATTATTCTGAGTGGTATGTATTCATTTCCCATTATTTTAAAAATAAAACAGCTTACTAGATTTTTCCTAATCAAGTTTCGAAAAGATGTGAACTTACCAGAGTGCTTTTCTGAGCCTCTGCCAACTTTGTAGCGATGAAGTACTGAATTGGCGCAAGGAGTACAATGACGGCTGCACCAACCAATGCGCTTGATCCAAGTAAATTATAGAGCAGAATCACTCCCATTATGATCTAGAAAGGAAAACATACGGAAAAGGGAAAATGAACAGGGGCGTGGGGACCACTCAATGAGAGGAAATATATTTTGGTGGAAATGTACTACTTCTTCATTAGTAATTGATTAATAAATACATTTATTTGGAAGTCAACTCAATGAAGAACAGTTGGGTTTTCCTATGTTTTACTTGGGGAAAGCTAAGTAGTAGGAATTTATTTTTAGTCTGATGATCTGTACAACAGGTGTCAAACCAATTTACTGCATGAGGTTACAGACTGGTCCCCCGAAGCTTCTGACCTTCTAAGACAGTCTTCACATTTTTAAAAGGACATGAAATTTTTCTTGAAAATGTTATCGCCCACTGTAACTGACATTCTGTATTGTCATGGAATTCTACTAGCTTTTCCAGTCAGGAAGGATGGAAAGCAGGAGGCAGCACCATAATGTAAGTGAGCGCTGGATGGTTGTTTGCAGGCTAAAGGAATAATCTGAGCTCCTCACATCCTCAATGACCCCAGAAGTCACTTGACAACAAGAAGGCTTAGCTTAACTAAAACTGTGAGGAAGCTAAAGTTGGTGGTACTCCATCACACCTCACTTCCCTTTTTAAATTTATTTCCCCAAACCCAGGGCTGAGCCACATAAGCCAACCCTCTCTGGTTTGTCACTTTCTTCTTCTTCCTTTAAAAACTTAGGATTTGACCCCGCAATCTTCTCTCTCTACTTTTTTTCCTCCAGTAGCTCAGTTTATCATGGCTAAAAATGTCAGCCAATGAACTATATCCATGTAGTTAAAGCATTTAATCTTTGTGTGTTTGCCAATGATAACAGCTTAACAGTGGCCTTCTGGAGGCACATATTTACTGCCTAGCCAATTAGGCTTTTGAGGGATTCCAATCAAAATGAAAGTTTCCTTAACATCACTCATGATGCAGTCATTCAGAGGCAGCCTGGGATTTTTGGTACATTTTAAATTATATCACGTAGGCAGCCACCTACTTGACCTGTATATAAGTACATATTGATAAAATGAGACCAAGCATATTTTAAATCTTTCCTTGTGCCATGCACTGTGCATGATATACACTTTTATTTGACTTGGATTTCCATTTAAAACTAAAAAGGCAAACACATTTTAAAACTACCATATATTCTGTATTATTGTATGCATTTTAATAAACATGGCACACAGGGACAAAGGTGACAGACTGGATCGAATAAGATCTACAGTTTAAGCTCTATCTATAGGATGCAAACTCGAGGTAACTAAAAATATTCAACATCACACAGAAGAAAGAACTGAAAATGTTTCTTTTGCTATTTTTACCCAATTAGGGGGGAAAAAACTGCATCTTTGCTAAAATGCTATTCTCCATTAAAAAAAATAGCTAAATTTCCATCCAGCTTGTTAGTGTTCCTACCACCTAATAAAGTTTGACATTTTATAATACATCAGCTATTGAAACTATGGGATGGATTACAGCAATTGTTCTACTTTAGAAATGCTATAAGAGAGTCTGTTAAAATGAAAGGGGTCAAGCCTTGGCTCTGTGACTTGACTGAATTTGGTCAATAACGGTAACAACTAACAAATACTGGATGCCCATGAAATGCTAAGCATTATGCTGAATGTGCTACACATACTAACTTACTTAGTCTTGACAATTCCAACAATTTTACGAGGCAGATACTATTATCATTCCCATTTTAAAGTTGAGGAAACGAATGTTTTGAGGATCTAAACACTCGTGCAAACAGGGTAGAGCAGATATTTGAACCTAAGCAGAATTCCAACCCCCACTTTCTTAACCTATGTCAGAGCATTTCTGAGACTCCGCTTTCTTCTCTATAAAAACAGTATAATATCAGCATATTCAAAAAGTTTGCCCTTCACTGAGCTAAATACCTTATACTCCTTTTGTTTTGTTTCCTCTGCAAATGAGAATATTACTTATATTGATCTACCTGAACAGGCATTGCCCATAGATTGGGACACAGGAACAAGAACCACATGAGTTGATTGGTTTCAATGGCAACCAAGTTATTGATCTGTCCCAGGGTCATCTCACCCATGGATAAATTAGATGTAGACAGCCTAAGGATTTTATTGTATATCATGGCCTGCAAAAAATAAAAACAAAAAAAGTACTTGAAGCTCTACACTTAATCAACAGTGTTTATTCACTTTTATTGAAAAGATAACATTTTAAATTTTCCTCGAGAAAAAGGGGGGAAAAAACCTAGAATGCCATCTTCTTAAGTCAACCACTATCTTCATTTTAGCATATTTTCAGTCCTCAATTACATACAAACTTATTTTCTTGCGATATAATCAAAATGCATATTCAATTTCAAACATAAGCTCTAGAACAAACTGAAACAGAGATAAATAAAAGAAAGTTTTCGAAAGTTTTCTTTCTTTCTTTTTTTTTTTCAGTAGGCTCCACACCCAGCGTGGAGCCCATCCCAGGGCTTGAACTCACCACCCTGAGATCAAGACCTCAGCTGAGGTTAAAGAGTCAGATGCTTAATCGACTGAGCCACTCAGGTGCCCCAAAAGTTTTCTTACTATTACAAAAGGTTTTAAAAATTCAGTGGGTTTACTAATTAGCTGTTTTTTTAATTAAACAGCTTCTAGAAGTGTTGGAGTTGTAGTATCAAAGTAAAAACAGAATGAAAAATAAAATTGACTCCACTACCCTTCTATCATCGGATGATATATAGGCATTTTCAAAAAACAAAGATCATTCTAAGCTTGTACATACCAGCAGAGCTCCACGGAGGTTAATGCCAGTCTCTATGGTTACATAGTAGGAAGCTTGCAAAAATGTCCTTTGCAGGATAAGGGCCAAAAAAAGAAGAACTGCTAGTACATAAGCATTTTCAAGAAATTCCTTTGATGAAAGGGTTTCTGAAATCTTGCCCCAAAAGAAAAGGACATAAATTAAAACTGGTCTTTTCATATGGCAGTGTACAGTTCACATCTATTAAATGATACATGATTTTTAAATATAAAAACTCAGTGTCTTTATAATAGCAGTGAAATGAGCCACAACAAGGCAATTTTGGCCTTTCTTCATCATGTCCACAGATACAGATTCAAACTAGTTCAATGCATAAAATCCCAAATTGATCATTAAGATTGCTGGAAATGCCTGATTGTAGAAAAAAGGTACATTTTAATTTTTTTAAAAATTGAGTATATTTTCCACAAAGATATATTATTCCATCCTGAGAAGCAGTAACTGAAGATCAAAGTTAATTTAGACTGTAATTCAGAAGTAAAAACCACCATACTGATAGTTGGTCAGCAAGACCACTGAAACAGAAATACAATTTCTATATCTTTGCTAATTTAAAATAATTCTATATAGTTGACTTAATCTAATTTTCATTTATCTTAATTTATATTAACAAAATAAATTATAAATTATAAACTATGTAATGTGGCTATTGACGTTGACACTTCCAGTGACAAAACACAACTTATGAAATTGAGTAGGAATATGACTGAAGTCATCATAAGGACATACAAAACTGATTGCTTTTTGTTTATAACAATAGTATGTGATAACTTGTTGGTTAGAAGTGAGGGAAAGGTAACACTCAAATAACTAAATCATAGTCAATCTGGGAAATCTTCATTTTTTATGGTTTAAATCCATCAAATTCTATTTCTGGTCCCTTCCTCTTCTTCCATGGGGTTGCACAGAAACATGTAAGTTCCGTTCCTTCTCAGAAAAACGTGTGGTTAATACGTGTAAGGGAGAGGGATGATAGAAAAATTCTATGTGGAATGTATGGACTGTAATCAGACTAATAGGGACAAAACATCACAAAAGTGCATTCAATGGTGAAAATATCTGGTTTGCTTCCATAATAATTGAGCACCAATATGCGCAAGTGACTAGGCTACACATTGTGAACATAAATATTAACAGTTCGCAGTCCTTCTGTTTAAAGAGCTTACCACCTAGAAAGATAAGCATATCCATAAATAACTTGCTTCATTATAAAGAACATTTATAGCAAGTGCCAAGGTGAAATAAACAATGTGTTGAACAGCACGAAGAAGAGTCAAATTCCAATCAGAACAATCAGAAAAGCTTTACTGAGGAGGTGGCATTTGGTGTAGGCTTTGAGAATGCATGAAATTTTAACAGGTGAAGAAAAAAGGACAGCAAATCAGATTGAGGGAATAGAAAAGGAAAACTGATGCATCTAGACTAGAGTTTCTGTGAACCTAGGGAAATCAGCTCTTAGAAAGAAACTGGGAAATTCATGCTGAGACTTTCTTAAGAATACAGAATAAAAGACTATATATTTATAACAGCAAAGATATAGTATCTTATACTCTACAGCCCCCAAATAATAGCATAATATCTAATAAAAATATTATAATGTGACTTGCCCTGTTCATTGTGAAACAGGGTGATGGCTTTTATTGTATAAAAAAGAAAAATGTATATAGTACAAATCACATTGCTAATGTGATTGGTCACAGGCCTCCAAAAAAGTGACCCAGCCACACCTGATGCACTCATGCATGAAAATTCTTCAAAGGGTTGCTGAAAAGATCAAAGAAAATAATCAATGTGAAATTTCTGAACATGGCTTCGGCACATAGTAGATACTCATTAAATGTTTATAGGCTCTGAATCTGAGAAATAATTTTGAACAGATCCATTCAGTGAATACATAAGCACATGATTTTCACTACAAGGAAAATTATTGTTTTATTTGCTTTAAATGCATTCAATTCTTGTAAATAAGCCTGTTTGTACTGTTCAAAGAACTGCATTAATAAAAAGGAACAATTACAATGAAATCTGCCAATAATATGCTTCCTTTCAAAAGCACCACACACTTACTCCTGTTGTGTTATTTGTCCCATTCTGGGTTTCATTCACACGTTGAACTATTCCAGAAATACAGAGAGGTCCAGCAAAACCCAGTAAGTCTGCAAGATAACGGAATGTGCTACTAAGTAGAATTGGTCGTCCAAAAGCTCTGTACATTGCTAGCCATATAGATGGAGTCCGGTTTGGATGATCTGCTACTTTTTTCTGAAAGAAAACAAAACAAAACAAAACAGATGAACCAAAATAAAACTGCTAGCACAGCAATTAATCTCAGCAACTATGGCAATTCCTTCTGATATTTCTGATGATATTTTAAGTTTATAAGTCAGTGTTAATGAGTCCCTTTAGTATAGTATGCATAATCCATAGTCCATTGCATTCTATGCAAACAGTAGCTACTGAACACCTTTTAATGGGATAGAATGAAGAGTAAATAGGCCAGATTTTCAAAGACTTTGCATTATTTTTAGCTGTCAAAGGATAACCCAAAATTCTTAAAGTCAAATTAATTTTAATTTTTTTTGTTTGGAACGTGTGTATCTGTCATGAATATTACCAAATACCATTGTATGAAAAAGAAGATAGTGAAGTATAAAAATCAAGCTTATCAAAAGACTAGTCAAGATTTCTGGAGTTACTAGATCACAAGATATTTATCACAAGCTAAAGATATTTTACTACAAGGTACTTTACTACAAGCTAAACAAAACAGATCATCCCAACTTCAAATTGTTTCTCTTTCAGGTATTTCCTATCTCCATGAATATTAGCCAGTACAGTTTAAAGTTGTGTTAGACTTGTGTTGCATAGTTATTTGACAAAGAGATGCAAAATTGAAGAATGGCTTATACGTTTAAGCCAATGCATGACTTCACACATCTGTAGTGGTTTGTTGAGAGGATTTTAAGACCTGAATAATCATCATAATTAAGTCATAGAGAGGAGGTGGGTAACGTTTTTTCATTGTGGGAAGCCAACTCAATGGAATAGAATTCAATTGTGTTTCATATTTGATTCCCTGTTAGATGAATAATTTGATTATTTTTAAAAGTTTATTAATGCAAGACGTTAATGCACTAAGTTCAAGCTGATCTGTATTATGAAGAGTACGCAGAACACTTAAACTATGCTTAGGCTATATTGTTAATCTTTACATTAGCAAAGAAGTTTCAAAAATATTATGCAATACTTTTCCCAGAGGTGAAACCAAAGAGATGACTCAGGTTCATTTGTAGTAACCATTTCCTGCAGTATTAATTTCATAAGACACAGTTTTGACACAAAACTGAGGTCATTTTCATCATTTACCATAAATGCTTTGTCGTCTTGATTTAGAACAGACAAAAACTCTAACTGATTCACCTTACCCTACCCCTTTCCAATGTTGTTGTGAATACTAATAATTTCAATTGCAACAATATTAGTAGATGACTGCCATATCAATTACATCTATCACTGTGGAGAGCACACATGACTATATAGAATAATAACAAGACAAATTCAAAATATCCAAAGACTCCTTAAGGTTTTTAAAGCAATTGCTCAAAGAAAGTACCAGAAGAAACCAATTTTGACAGACATATAGGATAATACATGGAATAGGTAGATAACTTTATTTAATTCAGTTTCTCAAGTTTGAAACACAGGGTCCAAATTTTAGTCAATAATTAATTTAGGGATTTTTTAGTTTATTAAATGTGGTTATTATATGATTTATTTTATCTTTATATAACAAAATTATTGACAAGATACTTGAAAACACTTAACAATTCCATGAGTTATTAACAACATATGGTAACAAGGATTAGATATACATGATCGTTGAGCTTAATTTTTACCTTCCACTTGGTTCCAGAAAAGATAATAGTGTTCCCTCTATCCCTCTTCATGTATGAACTGGGCAATTAACACAATGTAACTTTATTTCATTGGCTCTTCTAGTATATTCTCAGTGGCCCAATTCACATGACTCAAAATTACTGGGAAAGACATATGAAGAAAATCTGATCTTCCTTAACCATAGATATTTAAGCTTAGTAACTTTACACTTAACAGACCCATTTTCTACAATTATGGACATGAAAAACAGATACTAAATTACCTTTTGTTCTTCATATGCATCTTTCAGGCAAACATAATTTGTTACCGCCCTCATTGCTATTGGTAGTTTTCCAATTGCTTTCAGATCAATAGGCTTTTTATGAGCAGATATGATAAGTGTGTTCATCCACCAGTATGTTGCTTTTGACAATAAATTCACGAATGGTTGAAGAAATCTCACACCCAGATCCTGGAGGTCTTCAGGAGGCTTTACTTTCTGAGGATTCATGAAGAATACATATCTCTATAGTAAGAAAAATTCCATAGAGTAATAATTAACCCAATTATTTTTCCACATACTAAAATAAAATTTTAGCCTTTTCTACATTTTCATTTCAAGGGGACGAAATGTATATTTTAATACCTCTTACATTTCTTTGGAAATATATTTTGAAATGTTTCCTTCTGTTGTGACTAGATTAATTAGTTAAATGCCAGAATTTTATGTTTAATCCACTTAAGGATAATTCTAAAAAAAAAAAACAACAGATTATCCCTTTAAAAGATAGTTATTACTAAGAACCAGTCTTTCATGATATCCTGTCGTAGGGTCAACTAAATGAAGACTTTTACATTATTTAGATTTTTTAAATGTGTTGACACCATTATTGAGTCACTCTCTGATAATTTGTGGTTTGACTGATGTTCACTAACTGTTCTCCACTATTCCTTACAGCTTGTGACATGCCATTCAGAGCAAAGTCAAAGTGCTCTGGTAGAAAATGAATATTGAAAAATCATTCACAAATATGTCACACAACATAACAGCATTCTGTGATGCAAAACACAACAGGTTTGTAATCACAGACCAGGCAAGAGTCTTGACTGTGTGGCTTTGGATATAGCTAGTTATCTCTGTAGAAGTTTCTTCATCAGTGAAATGAGCAAACGTATTATCTTCTTTTCATTTTGAAATTTCTAGGAATACAGTAGTTTGCTTAATATGGGTGTGCTTGGGACAAATCATGGATGATGGAATTTCCTGATGAAAACAATTTCGTCTATAATATGAGCTGAGCATGTTTGGCACATAACAATTGCTCAATCAATATGCACAAATGAATAAATAGATTTTAGGGTCATACTGCGATTTCTGGAACACTAATGGCCTGAAACTTAGTGATTAGTTCAACTTTTATACACATAGAGGTTATACATTTGCTCATTCTCTTGAATACTAATGATTTCTGGCTGACTATAATCTTTAATATTGGGGTCTTGAATTCCAGTAATTAAACAAAAATGATTAGATACTGGGGCACCTGGGTGGCTCAGTCATTAAGCGTCTGCCTTCGGCTCGGGTCATGATCTCGGGGTCCTGGGATCGAGCCCCGCATCGGGCTCCCTGCT